AATCCAAAAAGGTATGTTGCAAAAAATGATTTTCTATCAACTTGGAAACTTTTGTGCCTAATCCTCATTTAAATACGCAAAATATATCAACTTATATGTCTGAAGTAGTCTCTGTATTTTGGGTTGTGTGGAAACTTGCATCTTGTGATTGGGTGGAAACCACTGGCCACTTGTCATTAGGTGGAAGGTGGGGAGTGACTGTTTCATTGAGAAACTGCTGAATCTTGAATATAGAGAATTAAATCAGGCAAGTGTTATGTCTCGAAAGAACTTAACAGCCATTGTTCAGTTTGCTAGTACTCTTCGTTTTGGGGTTGTTTGTGTAGAGCTGATGCATAATTTTCTAAGAAACTATTTGAAGTTGTTTGGAATGCTTTTTAATTTGAATTGTAGCACAAAACATCTTGGTGAAATTATAAAGTTTCTGGGAATTCAAGTGATGTGCTCAAAGGATTATTAAAGTTCATGGGAAATCATTGTGACAAGGTTAAAGGGAGATGCCACTGTTGGCATACACGTGCATTTGAGTTCGTTTGATCAAGTGCCTAACCAAAGCAATTCGTGGTCTGAACTTGTATGTTATTTTAAAGGTGGTACCACTTTACTTAATTGATTCGGAATGTGCTTCCAAGCTCTGCAAATTATCAAATATATGTATTTCCTCATTGGTAGGATTCCTGATTATTTTTTGAAGCTACAAAAGAAGCTTGTTGATGATGAGAATGTCCGTGCTATAACTCTAGACTAGGGTTACACTTTCAAATTGTTATTGTAGTGATGACATCAAATGTCGCTGACATAATTAGCTCGGTGACTCCACCTAACTCTACTGGCCAGTTACTTGTGGTTATGTCCTTCAATGGTAGAGGTGGTGAACTTATTAATTTCATTCATAAAATCATTGTGATGGATTCTTCTGAGAAATTTATGTTTGTTAAGTATGGTTTTGAATTTGAAAAATGCACTCTTCGTAGATATAAATGAGTGGAGATTATTGAGTGGACATTATTTCCATAAAACAAAGAAACTCCTTCAGACTTGGACTGTTGTTCAAGCTGGGTTCAAATACAGGTCTACAACAACAACAACAAGCCTTTTTTCCACTAGGTTGGGTCGTCTATATGGATCATATGTTGCCATCGTGCTCGATCATTACATAAATCATCCCTTAAATTTAAATATTTCAAATCATTTTTTATAGTTCCTTTTCAAGTTTTCTTCGGTCTACCCCTACTCCTCTTAATTTGAGTTCTTGATTCTATAGTTTCTACCCTCCCAACCAGGGCCTCCACCGGTCTCTTAAACACATACTCAAAACACCTTAAACGAGTTTCTCACATTTTCTCATCTATCGGAGCTACCCCTACCTTAATGTATTCGTTTCTAATCCTATCTAACCTAGTGTGCCCACACATCCATCTTAGCATTTTCATTTTTGCTACCCCCATTTTTTGTTCATTTTCATATTTGGTAATCCAACACTCGGATCTGTAAAGTATCACCTGTCGAATGGACGTTTGATAGAACTTGCCTTGCAAATTCAATGGTACTTTACGATCACAAAGTACTGAGGACACACTTCGCCATTTGTTCCACCCGGTTTGAATTCGGTGTGTTGCATCACTATCAATGCCTCCATTTTCTTCTATAATGGATCCTAAATATTTAAAACTTTTAGATGTGTTCACTACATGTTCACCAATTTTAACATTTATCATGTTATTACTCCTACGATTACTAAAATGACATTCCAAATATTCCGTTTTAGCCCTACTTATTGTAAAACCTTTAGATTCTAGTGCCTCCCTCCAAATCTCTAACTTGGCATTTATCCCTTCCCTTGTTTCATCTATTAAAACTATGTCATCCACTAACAATATACAATCGGGGATGACTATTTGCAAATACTTAGTAATTTCATTAATTACTAAAACAAAAAGGTAGGGGCTCAGTGTCGACCCTTGATACAAACCAACCGTGATTGAAAATTCATCCCAAATCCCTACCGAAGTCCTCACACATGTTGTTGCATTATTACACATGTCTTTTATAGTTTCTATATATCCCACTCTCACTCCCTTTTTTTCTAACACTCTCCACATTATATCTCTATTAACCCTATCATGTGCTTTTTCAAGGTCAATAAAGACCATATGCAAATTTTTTTTCTCTCATTAAAGTGTTCTTATTAAGTGTATGGCTTCCATTGTTGATCTTCCCGGCATAAAAATCAAATTGATTTTCGATTATGTTAGTTTCTTGTCTTAACCTAGTTTCTATCACTCTTTCCCACAATTTCATTGTGTGACACATTAGCTTTATTCAATTCCCCTATAGTTAGCGCAATTTTTTACATCTCCCTTATTTTTAAAAAAAGGTATTAGTGTACTCTTCCTCCATTAGTTAGGAATCTTCTTACTCTTCATAATTATGTTAAATAACTCCATTAGTCATTCAATCCCAAATTTACCTAGACATCTCCATGCCTCTATTGGGATATCATCGGGGCCTACGGCTTTACCATTTTTCATTTTTTGCATAGTTTTTCAACTTCTTTAGGTTGGATTTTTCTATAGTATGTGAAATTTTTATGATTCTCACTTTGTACTATCTCCCCAAATGTTATTTCCCTATTATCTACTTCATTAAATAACTTATGAAAATACTCTTTCCATCTATCGTTTATTATCTTGTCCTCAACTAAGATATGTCTATTTTCATCTTTTCTGCTTTTCAAAAATCTGTCCTACTTAAGTTCTCCGGGATGAAAATGTTGTTAGCACTGGACTATCTTGTTGGTACTTGGTTAGATCAATTAGTATCAAATTGTCTTGATGAGAGGTCATTTATGTCTGAGTATGTTGCTAGCCTGAAGCTCTATAGTTTACTTGTGAGTTCTGATAAATTGATGTTGTTAAGTCCATATTGCATGACTTGTTCCGCTGAGAACATTAGTGAACCACTTGCTACTTTAGTGATCATGATCTCAGGAGGCGTTTACTTCCAGGAATATATTAAATTGTATGATAATTGGGTACAACAGGTCACTGCCTTCGAAGGAGGATATGCAAAAAGTGGCAGTTAGTTGTTTACCTTGTGATGATGTTTTTATCATTTAGTTGGATAGTTGTAGAATTTGTAGACTGGAAAAGATAGAAGTAGATATTTTATCATGATTGAAACCATATATGCTAATAGGGCAACATTTGCTTTATTTATTGCTCATTTTACCAACTCTTGCAGCTCACAGTGACTGTTACTAGAATCGATGGGAGAATACCAACTTTTGATAATTCAGCAGTTGAATTGAGCAACAAAAGAACTCAATACTTACAAATTTTGATCTTCAAGCAGAGAGTTTATCAACATAACAAAGTTGGCTTTTAGACAGAAAACAAAGTGGCGTATAAAAGAGTTGGAGGGACATCTTTTGAAGAAATGTTGTCTCATGACAAACCAGAATTCGAAGACAGAGACTTCAAGAGATCACAAAGTAATAATGGGGATATCAATGATGTCATTTGTGTAATTTTAAACTATGCAGATCTTCTAGCCAATCATATGAAGAGGGTAGGAAAAGGAGGAGCACTAGAAGAAACTGAGATATTGACCTTTGTTGCTGATAAATTCGGAAAAAAACTAGCAACAAAGAGGACTTCATCAAAGCAGAAATGGTCTATAATTCTTGGGATAAAACCATCACTACATTCAAGGGAGACACAAACCTTACTGCAACTTCACATTTTGTTTGTTCTTAAGCTTCTAAGTACATCTGTTATCTTGGGATTCACATTCTCTTATCTATGATTCAACTGGTAGTATTTGGAAATGCAAGTTTTGAGGACAAAGGAGGAGTGTAGGAAAAGGAGGAGCACTAGAAGAAACTGAGATATTGACCTGTGTTGCTGATAAATTCGGAAAAGAACTAGCAACAAAGAGGACTCCATCAAAGTAGAAATGGTCTATAATTCTTGGGATAAAACCATCACTACATTCAAGGGAGACACAAACCATGGTCTATAATTCTTGGGATAAAACCATCACTACATTCAAGGGAGACACAAACCTTACTGCAACTTCACATTTTGTTGGTCCTTAAGCTTCTAAGTACATTTGTTGGTCCTTAACCTTACTGCAACTTCATATTTTGTTGTTTAACGGGAAGGGTTTATCATGCTTTTGGGGTTCTTTAGTATTAAATAAATTTCTAAGGACCAAACTATAATTTTATTATTACTAGTTTAGCTTTTAAGTTTTGACATTGTACTGGAATTGGTCATCAATTAATGAATATTTTGTCTGAACTCAACTTGTTCTCCAATTTCCCCTTTCTTCCCAATATCACTTTCTCAATCCCAATTCAAATTTCTCTAATTCTGCCCTGCTTCTTCCCTATCTTTAAATTGATTACAACATTTTCGGTTCGCGACAAAAATCTATTCGCCCTACCATCCAAATCAGCCCATTTCACCTCAAATTGACATCCAATCAACGTCAATCTATATTCTTCTACGAATTCGCTGGCGTAAGTGAAAAAATAAAAAGTTGAAAAACAAAAACCCAAAGGGACAGTAGGGTAATTCCGGATTCTATCATGTGCAAATTAGTCTTCTTCTAAAACCCTAATTAGTCTTCTTCCCCCAACCGGCCAGCCCAAACCCGGCCCGTTCCTCGATCACCTCTTTCTACTACAACTACTTCTTTTCCTTCTTCAGACGTAAAAATAATTTGAACCCCAGAATCCCCCACTCTTATTTGGTTCGGGCCAGAATAATTTATTTTTCCTCCCAACTCTACATTGGCGACAACTAAAAAAAAGTCTAACAAACCCGGCCCGCCCAAACCCGGCCCGTTCCCGATCACCTCCTCCTACTACAACTACTACTTCTTCTTCTTCTTCTTCTTCTTCTTCTTGAGAAGTAAAAATAATTTGAACCCCAGAATTCCCCACTCTTATTTGGTTCGGGCCAGAGTAATTTAGTTCTCCTCCCAACTCTACAATGGCGACAATTGAAAACAAGTCTAACAAGAAGAGAAAGCAACGCTACCTTCCTCAAAATGTAAGCTCTGCTCCCTGACCCTTTTGCTATTTATCTGTTTTAATCCACATTTTGTGCTTCTTTTTCTGTTCTGTTTTGAATTTTCTGTCTGAAAGATTTGTTGGTTTTTGGGTGGAAGCAGAAACCTGTGAAAAAGGGTGCATATGCATTGCACCCGGGAGTTCAAGGGTTCTTCATCACATGCGATGGCGGACGCGAACGCCAAGCCTCTCATGAAGCTGTTAACGTCATTGACTCCGTATGTCTGATTTCTTTCTTTCCTTTTTGTTTTTATTGTTTTGTTTTTTTGGTTTTGTTTGGGTAGCTCTTAATTTTCCTTCGTTGTTGCTCTATCACTTTAAATCAGTCACGCAATCCAGTGTTTCTGGCTTTTGTAAGGTAAAGAAGCATTCTTGACTTTATTGTATTATGTGGTAATTGCTTCTTCTCATTGTCCTTTTTATATCGCAATTAATTGCTGTGTGCTGTGTATACCTAGTAACTTGATTGATTTTTTCGATTGAAGTCCTGTAGTTCTACTCCCGTTCTTATAACTGATTCAGCTTTTACTTATTTTATGATATCCCTCCTTCAAAGGTGGTTGGCTGTGATGGAGTAAAAGATTAGGTCTATCATATATGGTATGAATGAATCGGGTTTATTTCTAGTTTATGGTGTCGTGTTTTCTTATTGAGTATGAATTGATTATATCCTTTGAATCTGCAAAAAATGATGTGTTTTTAGTGTGCTTTCGTGCCCCTGCAGATTTGATTGGCTAAAGAATATATGGTGTTTTTAGTTCCTGTGGACGTATTTGAATTTACCATTTCGTTCTACCATGTTTGAATTTTGTTTGCAAGTTCGGTAATGACAGCATCAGTATTCGTGTTTTGTTCATGTAATAATGATTTCAAAGGATGTTTAGTGCATCTCGGTAGTGAAAATTCTTTTACCCCTCCCATGTAATAAAGTCACAATTTGGGAAAGGATATGTACGAGTGACATCAGATACCTTTGGACAAATATATATATATATATATATATATATATATATATATAGAGAGAGAGAGAGAGAGAGAGAGAGAGAATGGCAGTTGTTTCCTCCTTTTTTTTTTTTTAATACAATTCTTACAAGCACCTAGGCTATTACATGTGTGAGTCTGGGGGAGGGGGATCTACTCCTAGCCTAGTCTAGTGGGGGTTTTTTTTTTTTTTTGATACAATTCTTACAAGCACCTAGGCTATTACATGTGTGAGTCTGGGGGAGGGGGATCTACTCCTAGCCTAGTCTAGTGGGGAACGACTCCACGCCTGCAACGTCTCTTTCCGCGCATCCATCGGGTGCTTGAAGAACTTCCATCTGCAACCTGCAAAGAAAGGCAGCATTTTGCTGCCGTGGGATTTCGAACCCGGGACCTCCTGGTTGGATGCCTAGCCCTTTACCACTTGGGCCACCCCCTCTTGTCATATATATATATATATAGCTCAACTTTTCTGTTATAACTACCATATTTGGCATTATGTTGTGAAATGGCAGTTGGAACATCTAAAGCAAGCTAGGGAAGGTGAACCAGGTTTTCTAGAAAAATGAAACAATCTGAGTCCAGATTAGGAATGAAAAGTAAAGTGATATCCAATTTGGTGGTGCAAATTAGAGCAATGATGAACAATTTCAAATTCAAATGAGCTATGATGAACAATTAGGAATTCAAGCATATTAGAATGTACACATATGAAGGAAAAATTAATAGAGAAGTGATTTATAGTGTGGTCCATGTTGCTCGGGGGAGCACCATTATCGAAGTTCTCGTTTAGGTTTTCCTAATCACTCTACTAACTGAATTATCAACAATTAGGTTATGTTTTGAGTTATAAGCTATTCTAAATTTCTGAAGTTTCTTCTGTTACCTAACAAAAGGCACCACCATTGAAAGGTTTACTATGATATCTCATTCCTAACAATGTGGTGTCAAATGGCTAATCTTTACTTTATCTGCAATTTTTCCTTCTATGTTTGTCTTGAATTCCAGTTTTTGGGTGACCCTTTTATGTTTGAGTTGAAAGTGACGCCAGAAGAGTACAGATCTGTCCTTCAATTTGCAGTACTTTAAGTCAGATTGATACTTTCTCTGTGATTTAATCGGACCCTGTTTAGTGCCATTTTTCTTGATGTCCTAAGCATTTTTTTCCTTGAGAAATTACAAAATTTATGAAAGCGAGAATGTAACACTGATAGTGACTTTTCAACTACATGATTTATTGAGCTGTCGAATGTATCATTTCTCTCTTATAGTTTCTTTCCATTTCTTTTTAGGTCTCCTCTGCTGCCTAGAGTTATGATTGTATATTTTTCACACGCCATAATAGGTCACATGCACTCATGTCCATACCACTGTTTCACCATTTTCTTGTCTATTTGGGCTATCCCCATTTTTTCCTTATTAATTCCATGGAATCACAACTTTCTTATTCCCAATATCCTCATTTATAGTTCATCTTCGTGTCTTGTTCCCAACACCCTGATCCATAAGACTAGCCCATTTTTTTGCTCATTTTAATACCTTGTAGGTGAGCACCCTGATCCCTGAAGTATTCTTACTCTGATGCGGTTACAGATTTATTAATTTATTTATTATTATTATTATTTTTTATATTAGCAGTACTAGTTGATAGAAGAGAAGGTAGGTCACAGATTTCCTTTTGTTCTCTGTAACATCTTTGTAAATCCCTCCCTTTTACTGAAAGATAAATTTACGTAGTTAGAACTTCTATATGTTATTAGGTCAAAACCTTCAATTTTGATTCTAACGTTATGGTGGCTTAGTTTGCTTAATTTATGCGGTTAATATGAATAAGTATTTTAGTAGTAGATCATCTATGTTTGTGACGAATTTGAGTTCTAGTTATTGTCTATGTTACAGTTGGTCCTTTGCTTAGGCAGATTGTTTCTGCATTCTCTTTTGGTTGAGTCAGGGTGAGCCTGTCACTCAGACGGCTTGCTCCATCCATGAGTTAAATGTCAGCCCTTGATTTGTGTGAACATTTGGTGGACTATATCTTCATAAAAAGCTAAACATTCTTCCTTCGATTTCATCATTGAATAGTAATGTTTTAAATCCCAAGGAAGAGGAATGAAGAGGCACTGCTCGTCTATGATTCCGACTTTGCAGAAGGGGCAATTACTTATAGCGTCTCTAATCATCAATATATTCGTATTGAGGGGCAGTTCACAACATATCAAAGACCTACAGAACAAAGGGATCTGTTCCCATCTCTTCAAACTGATTGTATTCATCACGAGTAATCCCTTCCTCAAACTAAGTAGTGTGTTGTTCTGTTGCTCGTGAACTTCGTCATTAAAGGATTGCTAACTAAACGTATTGCAGTTTCTAATAACATGTTGATTTATTCTGACTGAATTCAGTGTGTTTTTTTTTTAAATTTTCCTTTTCTCTTTTTTGTTCTGATTTTTTTAATGATTGTGATGATAGTGTCGGTAAAAGAAAACCTGAAAGCCTAGCACGTTAATTTATTCTGATTGAGTTCAGTGTTTTTTCCCCCCTTTTTTCTCTTTTGTTCTAATTTTTCAATGATTGTCAGGATGTGTTGCTGAAAGAAAACCTAAAAACTATCATCAATGATGGTTGCAGAGATGAGAATGTTGTGATGGACGTGTGTAAGGGATGTGCGTAGATAAGATAGGATGAGTAATGAATGCATTAGTAAGAATCTGGGGATAACACCAGTAATGAGAGAAACATGCTTAAGAAGATCAGAACATGCGCATAGAGACCTTGACATGGTCTAGTAAGATGTGTATATAGTATGAAAGTTAGAGTTCAAATTGAAAATGGAAGGTTCTATCAGAAAAGAATCGGAAAAGAACTTCATGGAGAAGACATGGTTTACTTAAAACATAAAGGAGAATACATGTTTGGACAGAGACAATATTATCGTGGGATAAGGCTAGTTGTTTTTTATCTCTTAGTATTGCCTGTGGACATTTAAGGACAATCATTTGCAAATCTTCCATGCACTTTATCGATTTTCAATAGAAATTTAAGTCTTTGTTACTGTAACATTTTAATCGAGTATAAAATTGGATTAATATACTTTCATGATTTATTGTTTAATGTTATCTTTTTTCTTGGAAACCTTTGATTTAACATGCGTGTTTGTGGACTCTGCAGTTTTTTGAAGAACTAGTACATGGCGCAGATTCAGATAAGGGAGCAGAAGAGATTTCAAATCAAGCTTTAAATAAAAAAACTAAATTTGTATACTCTGACAGTGACGAGGACGATACCGAAGAAGGAGATGATGATAAAAAGGAATCCAAAGATAAAGTTCATGAGGGGAGCAATGATGAAGATAATGCAGCCAATGATGATCTTGTAACTCCAGCTGCAAAAGAACCTTTGCCTCCTGAAAAAGAAAGTGGCTTAGAAGGAAATCAAGACAGTAAGGAATCAATGAAGAACAATGAAATTCAAGAAAACGAGCAGCCAATTAAAAAGCAATGTGTTGAAACTGGGAGAAATAATTTTTCAGAATTAGGATCCTCAAGGATGGAGAAAAAATCTGTGGATGAATTGATTGAATCTGAGCTAGCTGAATTGGGAGACAAAAACAAGGTAAGTTGATAGTTACAATTTTACTGTAAGTTGCAAACCCTTTTCGTTCTTTCTACTGCATAACCTGGAATAACATGTTTTTGTGCATGGTGTCTTTTAATTTGCATTTGCTTGTTAATATTAAACAATCTTTTCTGGTTAAACAAGGTTTTGCTGTTAGGGTCTGTGAGGGTAGAATGTGATCAAATATCAGATTTATTTATTTAGGCTTGAAGAGTATGATATACAATCAACGTGCTACTTCTTAAAGTTGAATATAATGCCTTCGGAGAAAATGCTACCTATTGATAATGAAAATTGTTGGATTACCTGTATGCAATATTTGATTCATGGTGAGGGGTCCCTTTGAACCGAGAGAAACATGCACAAGTGAAGGGTATTGGAGTTTAAAATGTTAAATCTGGAAGAAGCTGTAAGGTCGCTTGAATGGGATTCATTATTTTCTGGAGGAAGTTGGAAGGAAAGGATTCAGTGGTTGTGTCTCACTTGCTGGCTGGAGTGGTGAGTATATTAAACCAAGAATTTGAACCAGATGTAGCGTACTGTAAATGTGATCTTGTTGTAGTGGAACCTTAATCAGCTGGAATATGGATTCTGTACTTAGTTTTTGTCCAGAGTGTTAACCCTCTTAATTTATGTTTTGTTTTTTTTTGTCCCTGTTATAGTTTCATTAGAAATCATTGTTTGATTGTAAGTACTTTTCTTGCCTAAAAGAGGTACTGGACACTAACTGATTGAGGACATTTTAGATTTTATTTCTTTTTCTCAACTTATCAAACCTGGAATTGTACTTTTTTGGAGGTCAAGCCTGTAATAACTATGTTTAGATTCCTAACTGACATCTGGTTTTGTACTGATATCTTCATTTTGACTTTAAAGTCTTCATCATAGATGATGAAAGATGTCAATGATATAAACGTTGGTCTCTGATTCACTATTGATTTATCATTTACACCAAGCAGATAGGTCTGCTTGTATTGAACAAATGTCATTTAGAATTCTCCAGGACACTTATTAGGTGAACAAATTTCATTCAAGATTCTCTGGGACGCTGTACCACACTTCCTTTCGAATGTATATACATATCGCCATCATTTAGAATATGAGCTCTCTGCTTTATTTGTATTGAATATGATCCAGATGAGCACTACACATATCACCATCATCTGTGTAGCTTCTAACTGCAGCCATGTTATAATTTGCTCTAACTTAATGTGTTCACTCTCCTTGAATCTTGGTATCAGCTTCTCTCTAAATAATGACAAATCTCAATAGCTTTTTTGTCCAATCATTTACTTTTGATTTTGCCAAATTCCATTGAGATCTGAATACCCTTTTCCATTTACCTTGATCTGTGCAGAGGCGTTTTTTCCATCTTGACTCGGGTTGCAATGGCGTTGTTTTTGTCCAAATGCGCAAAAGAGCTGATGATCCTAACCCAAAGGATATTGTGCATTACATGATGGCCTCACTTGCTTCATCAAGGAAACACATTTCCAGGTTCCTACCTTCTAAGTGAATAATTTCTGCAATGGTCTTTGCATGTTAAGAAATGCAAAATTATATTGTCTAATATTGCATTCATATGTGTCAGGTTCCTGTTAAGGGTGCTACCAATTGAATTCACATGCTATGCTTCAGAAGAAGAAATTTCACGAGCTATTGAGCCTTTCATTGCGCATTATTTTCCTGTTGAAACTCAGAACCCCAAAAAGGTGAACAATCAGCTGTTTCACATCTCTTGCATGCCATTATTATTATCTCTCTGTTGCTGAGTTGATTGAATTCAGAAAGAAAACCTTAGGTTACGTTTTCCAGATGTCAGCCATTCTTTGGCGGGCTAAAATTTCTTTCTTAGTTGCACAGTTACACTTGAGTTTTCAAGTATCTCTTAGTTCGTTTTGGTTTAGTTTTGATGTAACAGAGTGTATGTACTGAATTTTGCTTTGATTGTTTTCTAAAGCTTTCACTTCAATTGGTGAGCTTATCTCTCTGATATGTTTGCTAGGTTTAGTAATAAACAGTGAAGAGTAAAGTTACATTTTAGGTGGTAATAATAAAATTTTCATTTGCTTGATTTGATACTTATTTGTTCAACCTGTAGATATTTACCCCATCTATTTGTTTATTTATTTTCTCGGTCTTTTGTTGTTGTTGTTGTTTATGCTCTCTCTGACCAGCATGGAATTAAAAATTTTCTTTTGCAGTACGCTGTGCTCTATGAAGCTCGTGCAAATACTGGCATTGATAGAAGTAAAATCATTGATGCAGTTGCAAAATCTGTTCCTGCTCCACATAGAGTTGATCTTGGCAATCCTGATATGCATATAGTGGTTCAAGTTGTTAAGGTTAGAAGTCTTCTTTATAGTTCTCAAGATCCTCTGTTATTCTGTTGAAGTTAAAGTTTATCTTGTATTTGCTTTCATTTGGAAAGTTTTTTGTTGCTGAAATAGTTGATTCTGTTAGTAAGGCAAGGGAGTTAAGAAATACATAGTCATTTCAAATTTCGATGTTATTGAAGTAGGATTACAAACAATCTGTCAAAGCTTGTCTCATCTTAGAACTTAAAACCTACACGTAAAATTTACGTTCGCTGTTTATGCATATATTTTTTCATTGTATATCTATTTTTATTAAAAGATTGCTTTAGCTTTACTGTTCAACCAAAACTTTGTACTTGGATATTGGTTTGAGCTTTTCAATATAAATTGAAAATACAAATGAGCCAACCCTGATCACATCCACCATGAAAGTCTTTAAGAATGAATTGCCAGTAGTCTCAATCTCATTTTAGTTCACAAGCGGTATTTACAGCGAGAGAGATTAGAATTCTTTAAACATTTTTATATATCTTTAAAGTGCTAATATTGTTTGCTATTCTCAGTCGAGCTGACTTTTGTTCTGTTCCTTTCAGACTGTTTGTTTGATAGGCTTTGTTGAGAAGTACAAGGAATTCGCCAAGTACAATGTAAGGCAGCTTACTTCTGAAGAAACGACCTGACAATTCAGTTCCAGCTCTCAGAGCCCTTGGTAACGCTTTTACATATCTATGTGACTGAGTTTATTTAGTTTGTGCTTTTTCCATTTAGTTGATTGAGCACTAAGAGGTCAGAAGATAAACTATTGATGTTATGAGATCTTATTCTATGCCCATGGGGCTACTGAAATTTTGGGGAAATTGTGCACTTTATTTCTGTTTTCCTTCTTTGGTGTGAGTGCGGCGTTATGTATGCAAGTTTTAGCTAGCTCATAGACCTAGTTTATTCTTGTCTACTGTGTAGTAAAACTTGTGCGTGATAGACTTGACGAAAATTCATTTTTGTAGGTAGGACTGTATGCGAGATTCAGAGTGATCAAAATATTTCAAATATGTATGCAAACTGAAAAATTCCAAGATTATGGTGACCACATGAGCCGTTGCAAATCCAGTTTAGACCTGAACAGTGAAGGTTCGGTTAAAACTGAAAAATTGGCCGTGTACATTTCTACGTAATGGATGTCTACTCCATTTAGCTTTGGTGCATAATTTAGAGATTTGAATAAGATTAGTTGACTTTCGAGTTTCGAGGCCATCAACATGAAAAAAAATGAAATTTACGGAAGAGAGAAAGAAAATGAAATTCTTATGAACAGATGGAGAAAAGCAAAGACAATGAAATTCACATGAACAGATGGAGAAGCAATCAACTCTCTGTGTTGCCACTTTAGTACGCACGAAACGTTACATACATCCTCAGTTTCCAGGAATCACCTAAATTATGGCCTATTTTCTATGGACTTCTACAAGTGAAAAATATGACAATGATAATGAAAGAATGAAGGGGGCCAACAGAATCATGGATAAAACAGGCGCTGCCATTGATGTTTCTCCAAGAAGTAAGGATTATCTCATCGGCTTTTATATGTAAGCTTGATGTTTCTTCAACAGCTGATCTAAGAAGCGGGTTTGTATAACTTCTCCACCATCTTCCTATACTCTGCAAGATGTGGAAAAACGACGAGTAAGCGACAAATTTCTTCAAGAAACATTGGCAAACAAGTGCAAATCCTATTTTCCTTTTAACTACTATAAGGTCTGACTGACCTTCTTGATTAGCCCAAAGTGCGGCTGCTTGATTGTTCAAAGGTGAGCTTATGTTGGGCTCTGCAGACAATAAACCAGAAATCAATTCATGTCAACACACAAAAACAAGACAAATCCCGAAGCAAACAAACAGAGTAAAGAGGAATTATAGCTTTGAGTTCATTAAGAAAAGAAAGATTACCTCCAAGCAGGCTTTGAATGGAGAGAAGAATGGTCCTCGTGTCATATGCTGAGGACCATTTATCCTAGTATCAACAACAATCAAATGAGGAGGAAACAATCAGTTTCTATCTTAAAACAGGTTCAAGCCAAAATAACACTTCGATTTAGAATGAAAGTGTACCTGGAGTATGTCCAAACAGATATTGCCATATACATCAACATTTGGATGAAAGCAGCCAGTCTCGAACTTAACCTTTGGAGGCTTAAATGGATAATCAGCTGGAAAGGTTAGAGAGAGCTTATATTCTGTTCCTTCAAAGACTGTATCTTTGCTACCGGTGATTGTTCCTTTCCAGCAAAAGATGTTGTCTTCCTCAGGGAAAGCAGATATTCCTTCTTCACCACTCATCTGCACGGGGTCAATAAACAAGGGGACGAATTCCTCAGTATTTAAAATAAAGGGGAAACAAAAGGAAAGCACAATTATTAGAATAAAAAAACAAAGGAAATCACAAATTATTACCATTAGTGCCATAAGTTCTGATTGCAACCTGAAAAGATGGAAGAACGAAGGGAAGAAAACATCAGCACTAGAACGAACCAACATTTACAAAGAAACAGGCACATAAACTCAACTGTTTCCCCTAAAATCTGAGATTTATACACTAACACCAGAAGCTGTGCAAACAAGATGAAGAAAGAGGGCAATCAGATTATCAGACCTACTTGGTACGATGGTTTTCTTGAAGTATCAATTACAGATTTGTCGCAGAACTTTAATTAAGGTGCATTTCTATTTCACGATTAGGTTAAATACCCAACCTGGGCTGCCCAATCCAAGAAACCATGTAGAAAATGAACAAATAACTATCCAATTGAGATTCAAACAATAATCAATTACAGAAAATATAATTACTTCGTTTCATCGGATAAAATCCATCAAGAAAACAAAAAACGCACAGAGAAAATGCAACCACCCTCAATAAAAAACGTGAATCCCATTAATCCCGAACAATTTATAGAGAAATCAATCAGCATCTTTGCAAATCATGAAGCACAAAAACGGGTAAAAAAAAAACCCTAAACCCTAAATCAAGAAATCAAAATTCCGGCACATTGATGAAACAAACAAATCTTTAATTAAAGAAACAAAAAGAAAAAAGAAAAAAGAAGCAAACTACCGTTTGAGAACAGATTGAGTATCGACGCTCTTTGCAGTTTGAAGTGGCTGCTTTGACGATACAGGAACCCTTGTCTGGGCAGTATTGCTGTTATTGCTACTTTCACTGTTCATTGTTGCCATTCTCTTTCGCCCCTTTTTCCACAAATTACTACCCCAAAAAAAAAAAAATCGATTCTTCGTTTTCTCTTCAAAGGGGGAGGAGGAAACGTGAGATCAGTAAGTAACTACTGAAATCAAATTACAAGAAATCTCTCTATGAATTAAGAATTCGCGAGTAGAGAGAGAGAGAGAGAGAGAGAGAGAGAGAGAGAGAGAGAGAGAGAGAGAGATTCTTGGAAGAAAGGGCGGAAAAGAGAAATGGATTTGTGGGTTATAAAAAGGGGAAGAAGGAGAAGAAGAAGAAGAGGAGCGGCTTCAGAGTCTCAGAATGGGAGAGAGAGAATTCAAAACCTTCCTTTTCTTTTGTGAACGTTACAGAAAAAGGGTCGGGTCGGCCTGGTTATCATAACGGCTAGTTACGCCATTTTACTTTAATCTAAATATTTATTTAATAAAAAATAATTTTAATTTTCTAACACGTACGCTGGTGAGGTGGCGGCATGCAGGCCATCTTGCTGTATCGTGCCACCTTTTTAATTATTTATGGAATTTTTTTTTCTCAAAATGAACGACATTTTATCTCTCAAATTTTAACTAGTCAAATCTTCTCAAGTTTGACAATTTATAACGTAGACCAGGTTCACAATAGATGGTGAACTGGTTTTATAAGTTATCACACACGCTAAAAAAAGAGAGTATATTTTGATTAATCCTTATCCTTATACTTAATATAAAGGCACAGTAAATAAGAAATTAAATGCCCAAGAAATATTCAGGGTCACCTTCAAAGCGATCTCGTCCGTCGGATGGAGTTGATATGACGTCAGCGACTTATTAAGGGTATAAACGGGACTTCATAAATCTCAATTTAAAAATTCTGTTGGATTTTCGGGAAAAAACCCCAACCTACAAAACGACGTCGTTTTGGATAACGTCATTTTTTGGACATAAAATCCGTAAAGCTTTTGGAAAAAACCCTTGCCTTCCAAAAAACATCGTTTTGGGGTTTAAGCTTTAAAAGAGCTTATAAAAATAAACTGAATTTTTACAATCATTATTACCACCGTCATCGCCCTCCCCATCTGCCACGACCCAGTCAGTTCCACGGCTTCCCATGGAATCCAAATCAAAATCCAGACTTTGGATTCGAAGTTGTTCGTGCGGCTGAGGTGTTGGTGGTGATGGTTGTCGGCGAGTTGGAATTCCATCCTGATTTGTATTAGGGTTATAAAAAAACAATTTCCTAATTGCCGGCAAGAAATTCAGCGCAGGTGACAGCTCGAAACCTTCAAAATCCCATCTCTAATTGGACTTCCTGGTGTTTGTTCTCCTCACGGCCAGTGGTAGTGGAGCATTGACAGCCGGTGGTGGTGGTGGAGCCTTGTCATCGGAGATCTGCTGCCGCTATGTTTCAGGTTAGTTTTAAGTTGATTTTTATTAAATTTTTATTCTGATTGAAGTACAATTAAATATGTAGTTGTTTGAGATTCTCTCCATGTTAATTTTCATGCTTTTTTTGTCAATTGCTTGTAGAAGTCACTCTTCGTAGTTTGTTTCGATGCATAGGACGGACTTCAATAATTAGCTTTTTTAAAAAAATTAAAAATAAAAATTCACCCCAGTGGACCCCACTTAAATGTGGGTAAAACTCCCCTTACAATCCCTGGTGGGAATTGAACCCTGGTCTATTACTTGGAAAGACAGCAACCTAATCACTAAGTTGTCATTCAATTCTCGACTTCAATAATTAGCTTAAATTTTAATTGCATAGTAGAAAAGAAAGAACTTGGGCAGCACAGAATCTGAGTGAAGCTATTAGCATATCAGTGTTTTCATTGAAACTAGAGGCAGAGCTTTTCAACTTTAGCAAGCGGTAATATTTTTGTTCCTTCATTATGCATTCTCATACTTTTGTATTACAAAGATAACCAAATTTATTAGGATTATTAGAAAGCTGTGAATCGACAGTATATGGGCTTATGTGGCACGCACCGTCTTCTTTTTCACTCAAGCAAGTTTCCTCCGTTCACTTCAGGCAAGCACCTTTTCTTCATGAGAACAATCTCATTCAGGTTTTCCCCCTTTCTCTCTTTTTTTGCTTTTATTATTCCTGTGTTTGAACATACTTTGTGGCTTATCTTATGTTCATTGTTATATATTGGAATTTTTCTGAAGTGGATTAATTTCCCTTGGAATTAATCTAAGGGTTTTTAGAGGTTGATCTTAGTTGGGTGAGATGTTTCCTATATGTTGGAATTCTACTAAAGTGGAGTAATTTCTTTCTAAGTTGTTTTTATCAGTGGGATAAGAATTAAATGGATAGAGATGTAGAGTTAACATTTATGAATAACTATTATAAGAAAGAAGTAATTTTCAAGACTTAACGATGGTGAACTGCTAAAGTTAACATCGTTGATCAGTTGCCTACTAATACATTATTCTGCACAATGATAAGGGGAAAATTCATGTCTAAAACATTTATCCCCTGCAAATGATTCGCTCTGCGAACATCTATTTGATTCTTCCATGCTTTTGGTTCTCTTTGAACTTCGTATTGTAATCTCCTTTTAAAAATCTGGGTGCATATGTGGATGTTATCTTAGGTTTTGCTTTGATTTGCTTGATTACAGCTTTTCTCTTTTAGTCAAACATGATAGTTGGAATTGATTAATTTAATATGTTCTCCCTCTCTTGCACAAATTTGACTGAGCTGCTATTGAGAGGCCTGGCTAATAATGTTGTCTTCAATTAACGCTTGTGTGCAGCATATCTATGTGTAGTTGTGACTCGTGAGCCCTTATTTCTAACGAAATTTTAATTTTATAAATGGGTCATTGGTATTGGGACGGTAGTTGAAGAGGTTAACGAACCAATTGCTACTCTTCTGACCAAAGACTAATATACGCCGTTTGATTCCCTTAATGAAGGTCTCAATTTACGGAATATATTAAGAAAATTATGGCCTTGTACCATTTCTGTAATGGCATTTTGTCTACTAAAACAGCTACTGAAAATTTCACTGGATAGAACTTGGAAGCAACTACCTTGCACATGGTAAGAGTTTTAAGATCATACACAAGATGACAGAGTTTTAGTTAGTTTCCTTGGCATGTGACATGTGTAACTCATTTTGATATAGTGAATAGGTTTTGCAGTTTGTGATGTGGATGCCTTGATTTTCAAAATTTAATTTATCTTAAGAGCTATGTTTTTTTCTTGTGAATTTTATTTTAACTGTACACAAAAAAATCTCAAGCATAATCTGGACAGATTTGGCAATGAACTTCTGCACCACCACTCATTTTTGCTGCTCTATGCCAACTTTTAGGTATAGTCAAGCTGGGGAAGTCAACATCGTTTGCGTATTGCGACAGCAGTAATTCTGCTTTGCCGCAACAAGTAGTAGGACTCCAAATATAGATGAACCTGATGTTTCTTGGGTCAATTACTTGGTGAAAGACGTTCAACTATTTAACTCAGAGCAGAAGCGTAATGGAGGGTTCAATGACATTGTGCCATCATGGATTGATCAACTGTGCATAGAGCAGGACAAATAGTAGCTTAATCAATAACAATTGGCAAAATGATGCATTGGCTTCAATCCGTTATTGGATTGTATTCATATTCTTCATTCTATAGTATTCTTTTCATAATTCATATATGTAGAACGAAGAAAGTATATGGTGATCAATGGTTTCCCACGTTAATTGATGAAAGATTTGGGGTAAGATAACTAATCTATTGTTTGATAGCTTAAAGGATTAGGCTGAGTAATAATGTTTTGAGATGTATTCAGTTTCTTTCATTCCCTGAAACTCAAGGGGAAGCTACTTCCTATGCATTCTTCAATAGTAAAAACAAAATAACCTTTTAATCTTTTCTATGTTTCTCAGCGTTTTACTTCTTAGCCCTTTCTTCCATAGTCATTAGATCCATTGCGGGGCTAAACTGATCAAAACACAAAGAAAAAGTTCATATCATTTCATAAACTTTTGGGATCTGAAACAAAGAATCGGGAAACAGAAGTAACAAACTCCTTATAGTGACCATTTCCCCGGACCAGTTGGTCCTGCCTTTCTGATGACAAGAATTTTTGGGCTTTTCTTCCAAGAATACTGCTTTGAAAGTATCTTTCGTTCAATGTACAGTAAAAAAGATTTTTCATTATGATTAATTACACGTATAGTGAATACACCCAGCTTTTAAAACACTAATTACTCAGTGAGATGTTACATTTGACGTGCATTCGTGCATTTTGTTCATCGTGCTCATTAAAACATTTCTTCACGAAACAAAGTTATCATATTTGTTAAGAACAATCCGACCCATGTCACTAATTAACAATAAGTACCAATTTATATACAAATTCTTATATTATAATCACATGCGATATTTACATGATCCTCTCATTTTGGTATAATATCCACGATGTCATATTTTAGTACAAGAAATTGTTATTCATATTTTCCAATACATTTCATCCACCATGTTAGTGATTTCATCGAAGTGATGGATTTAGATTTATGTGTTATATGATCTTGTTTTACATGTATTTACTTTAGAACTAGAACTTTTCTCGTCGCGCGACCAATTTAGTATTTGAGTATTTTGGTTAGCAAAAAAAGGAAAATAATTTTATTAATTGACCATTATAGCCTTGTTATAAATTGCTGATGTCATGTTAATATATTAACCAATTAAAGGACTCAATTTAAAATTGATGATGTCATGTGAACTAATGGACCAATCAGAATGCTCAATTTAATTTCTGACCAATGGCGTTCAAAATTCTAAACTCACTAAGAGGCTTTTAGTTATGTACAGATAACAATTTCTGGAAGTGCACCAGGTAATCTTGGAATTACAATTGAACTATAAGATGATTCAATTACAGAAAGAGACACAATGTGCTAAAAATTACAAAATAGAAAATTGAATTGTTACACTTTTTGGCAAAATTAACCTTTGAATGTGTTACCGAAATTTAACTATCGCAAATGTTCTAAATTACGAACGATGTA